ATGGACATCTCAGTTGAACGAGAGAATATTATCAATGGATCGTGGAAGGTCGGTGCCATGATACCTGGTCAAACGAGTTCCTCTCTTCCCCTTTTTGACAGACGGTTCAGTTCATTTATGAGGACTCTGCATCAGGGATTTTCCTATCAAACATGATGTTGTACAAACTAATCATGACCTTAATGGAACTTTCTCTTTTATAGATTGTACAAAGATCACTATCAAAATTGAAGAACTTGTTATAGACCATTTTCGATATTAATGCATAGCTTATTTCCAAGTGAGAGTTCTCTTTTTGAGCAAGGTATCTGCCAAGTTGCACAAGTGACAAGAAATTGATTCCTGAAACACTTGGTTGAATTAATATTCTACAAGACACCGAACTTGTCAGATTGAATAATCTCATGGAACATGTATGAGAATTTTAGCTGCAGAATGTTACAGAATTCCTGGCAACTGCATGAAAACATTAGAATGAGTCTGGATAGATATACCCACGTAATACCCACGTAACGATAATAGTAGTTTCATGACACGACGGAAAATCACCGTTATTCAGGTGCAAAAGAAATTGCATATAATTAGTTTAATCTATTTTTTGGCATTTCACACACACACACACACACACACACACACACACACACACACACGCATACACACAGAGACACAGGGTGCGATAGATAAATTGTCGTTTAAATTACCAAAACAAAATTAAAATAATATTGACATCTCGTTTTAACAGATTATGCTTAACAAAATTACACAAAAATATCTTAAAATGCTAAAGAGTTTGTTTTTTTTTTTTCAATAAAATCGTCATTGTCTTCAATAATGGACTTCAGATGACTTCGAAATCTACTGCGACTCTTCTGGACAGTCTCCTTGTTTAAGTTGGTGAAGGTTGTCATAATCCTTGCCTTAAGTTAATCTTTGGTTTTACAAGTTTTTTTTTTTTGTGTTTTGTTTTGATTTGTTTTTGGCCTGTCGTTCATAAGCGCCCTACACATAATAATCAAGATGGTTGCAGTCTGAAGAATTAGTGTTATACTAGAAACACGCTTATTTTAATGTTAATAGACTCTCCCACTTATAATAAGTAGTAGTAGTAGCAGTCGCCGGGGCTCAGTGGAGTTGGTGTATCAGCCGATGTCGGACCTTAAAGTATCAACCACCACAACTAGATTGCTGCGTCATTAACTATTATTTCAAGTTCCTAACATTTTGTACGTCGAACCTCTTTTAGGACCGACTTAGTGAAATACAAGCCTCCACTGTGAAAACTACTCTACAACAATTAGGTGGCCAGATGTAAGGGGTTATGTCGTCGGAGAAATTGTCTGACATCCATGTCTGGGTTCTTCTGATTGTGTCACATGGTGCAGAGTGTTGTTGACAGACATAGGTTCTTCCAGTTGCCACCCTATTGACCCAGCGCAGCACTACTTTCTCAAGGCACTTGATGTAGGTCTTGTGTTGAGTCTGAGGCCTTCAGCAACAAATTCTGGAATTGTCTTATATCAGGTTATCCCATAAGTTCTGTCCGAATTTTAACTTTTTGTTAAAATGAACGAAATTTAAAGAGTATTTTATAATGTCTAATGGAGCTGAACATTATTTTTATGTTTACTGTACTGTACTGATGCGGCATTCACCCTGGGCGGATTGAGCCGGCTTCTTCCTGTTATGAGAAGAAGATTCTTGGGATAAATTACAGAAGTAGGGTACCCAGGCCTACTCGGATAACGTTCTTGCTTGCCGCGGGGTTCCCACAGACGCAGAGACAGGAACGACCAGAAGCCGCCGGTTACCGATGCAGAGGCTCCTTGGATTTTCACCAGAGCCCTTGTTAGCCGGCGTGTGTGTCAGACCTGTCCGTCTTGGGTGGCCCTACCAGGAACGAAGTTCCGGGCGGCATAGCTCTGACACTACCGTTTACACCCCCCACTGACTGTGAGGTAAGGGTTGGACTTTGGGGGCTTACAGTACCAGGTGTTCCCAAGCGGTCCCCCATCTAAGTACTGACCTGGCTCTACGATGCTTAACTTCGGTGATCGAACGAGAACCGGTGTTTCAGCGTGATTTGACCGTAAGCTATTTTTATGTTTAGATACATTTAAACTGATCAAATTTTATTTCAAAGAACAATAAATTTAAATTTTGTTTGATTAAAACCCTGCTAACATGGAAGTACCCAAGAATCATTTGAGACACATAATGCTTTATGAGTTCAAGAAAGGAAACTCAGCAGCCGAAGCCGCTAGAAACATTCCCTCAGTTTATGGAGAGGAATGTGTGAATGAAAGAAGTTGCAGAAGATGGTTTGCAATATTCAGAGGTGGGGATTTCACACTTGAAGATGAAGATCGAACCGGACGTCCAGTTGAGATTGATGAAAAGCTACTTGAAGCAGCCCTTGAAGAAAATCCTGCTTTATCAGTTGAGGAATTGGCAGTGGTTCTCAGTTCAAACCATACAACTGTTCATCGCCATCTTCAACAAC